GTCGCCAGGCAGACCCGGAGCCTCACACGTGGGACACAGGAAGCTAGAGGGGCAGGGGCGGGGGACGGCAAGGTTGCGGCCGAGGTGCCTCAAGGGCTCCCGGGGGCCCCGGAGCACCCCTCACGAGGCCCAGAAGGCCCCCGGGGGCTCCAGGGTGCAGGGTGGAGGGAAAGCCAAGGGAAACCTTCTGCAATAGACACCCCTGACAGCGCTCAACCAGCGGAGGGGGAGGATGACAGGAGCGGCACTTGCCTGGCCTGGCTCCGAAGTAAGCTTCAGGCATCAGAGGGACTGGCCTGGGGATCGTGGTCAGGACAGCTCGCCCTCTCCCCCTGCTGTTGCTGCTTGGCCCGCCTCCATCCTCTTTCTCGTCGACGAGGGATAGGGGACGGAAGAGGAGGGAAGGAGGATGGGGCGGGAGAAGATGGGGGTGAGGAGCGGCAGCGATGGAGCAGGTGGAGGGGAGTGCGGAGGATGGGATGGAGGGGGGAGGGACGAGGGCGGAGACGAGAAAGGGAGGAAGAGGAGGAGAAGCAGCAGGGGTGGGGAGGTCGGGATGAGGTGGACGCTTATGACCCCCCCCACCCAAAATCGAGAGCGTCACCAACCAAAGCTCGAAGATCGGGCCCTCCTCCTCCTCCTCCTCCTCCGCCTTCTCCTCCTTGGACATATTGGAAGGTATCGCTTCCATGACGTATGGCCCATCTGATCCGCCTACCTTCTTTCTCCATCCAAAACGCCAGCTCGGCTAGTGCCCCAGGCCACCACGGCGCCGGGCGCGTCCGCGTCCCCTCGGAGCCCACGGGGAAACGAACATAACGAGCCCGTCCTCCTCCTCCTCCTCCTCCTCCTCCTCCTCCTCCTCCTCCTCCTCCTCCTCCTCCTCTTGTCAAACCCTCCCTCCTCTTTCCTGCTCCAGGCAACGCCACGGGGGGTCACCCTTCGGGGTGTCGTTGACTCCTCGAGCAAGACGACGCCTTTGAACCCTCAAAACCTCCGAGAACCTGTCAAATCGTTCGTAAAAAGAACGTTAAACATCTCCTCGACGACCCTTGGTCCTCAAACCTCGATCCCTGGGAGGACCTGGCCACCACCCTAATCAGTGGTGACTCCCGTGCCATTGCCTGACTGCCTGCCAACGGCCCCTCTTTCAAGACAGCCAAAGGTGTCCATGGCCCGAGGGGCACTCGTATCTTCGCTCCACTTTGGAGCCCCCAGGGCCCTTCGGGCCTCGTGGGGGGTACTCTGGAGAGCCGCCTTGCAAATCCTGGGGATACCTATCTGACCCCCCCTGGTACACCTTGGGTAAACCCGAACTGACGGTTGGCGGGCACCCCGCTCTCTCGGCTTCCGTAGGTCCGCCCCCTGTCACGCCGCTGCGCTGCAGACGATTACGGCTGCGAACGGACACGACAGCCAAGCAATGATACAGATCCAGCTTCTTCCTCCTCTGACTGCAGCCCCAGTACGATCGTCAGCGTTCCTTGGGAGGTGGGGGATGGGGGTTTGGCCAGGGCAACGCGAATTACCCTGGGGAGGAACAACAGAAAACGCTCACCTCCCCTTCCTGGGACGGGGGGGAAGGGGAGCCCACAAGGGGACCCTCCTTAAAGAAATCTCTGCTCTCTTCGCATCCGCTCCTCCCTCTTATCCCTGCTGCTGCGCACTCGCCGTGCGCCCAACTCCGCAAACTATGCATCCCAAAGAGCTGCCATCTCTTGAGCAAGCTCTACTTCTGCGTCCGCCAGACTCCGCCAGCGGAGCCGCGGCCTTCCTGCCTCCGCTCTGGGGAAGCAAGGGCTCCCAACTTCGCGCTTCGCGCTGCGCGAAGCGCGAAGCGCGAATAACTTCGCGCTCTCGCGCCGCCCCCCCAAAGGGAGAAAAGAAGGACGAGGAGGAGGGGGAGGAGAAACGAGGACCGCGAAGCGCGAATAACTTCGCGCCCTCGGGGGCGCCCTTGGGAAGCGACGTCAGCCCTGCCAGCCCCTCGAAGGCGAGGCCCCGCTCTGGAGCGCCCCACGGGGACTGCTCCGCGGGGCACCTGGACCTGCCATACTTGGGCGCCCGAGTTATCCGGGGTAACTCGGGTCCGGGGTAACTCGGGTTTGGATTCCCGAAAAAGGAACCCGAGTTACCCCTGACCCGAGTTACCCCTGATGATTCGGGGCTCTGGACGCCCGAGTTATCCGGGGTAACTCGGGTCCGGGATAACTCGGGTTCGGACTCCCGAAAAACGAACCCGAGTTAGCCCTGACCCGAGTTACCCCTGATGATTCGGGGCTCTGACATACAGTCGGGGGCTTGACCAAAGGAACCCAAAATAAGGAACGAGGCCCCTCTTTTCCATGAGATAAACTTCGATTTTCCAATCGAAAACAGAAGGAACACCTGGGGCAAGCTGCGAAACACTTAAGGAACGCGGAGCCCCCCTTCCCCAACGAAAAGGGTTCCTTCTTCAGGGCCCCGACTGTACTAGGGGAACAAAAAGTGGCATAAACATCAGAACTCGGAGGTCCGCGCGGATTTCTCGGACCGCCCTCCCTGGCGCGCGGAGCGCGCCAGGGGCGGCGCCGGAGGCGCCGCCGGGGGGCCCCAGCGCCGATCCGAGGAATTCGCGCGGACCTGCGAGTTCTGATGTTTATGCCACTTCTTGTTCCCCTGTGAACGACAGGGCCCGGGACCCTGGGGCCCCCCCCTGGGACGAGCGTGTCATTCGGAATGGCTGCATGACGGTCCCAGGGCCCAAACACGGCTCCAAGAAGCCGAGCGCTGCGAGACACCGCGGGGCCCGGCTCCCTCAGCACCCAGCTGCTGCACGGCGACGCGCCGCAAGCTGTGCCGATACCCGCGCGGATGGCTGGCACTGGGCAGGACCAATTGGCACTGAATGGGGACATCAGATCGTTTCGGAACGTGTGCCGGCTCGGGCTGCATCGGCAGGGAGTCGGAATCGGATGATCGGATCGCCCGCGCCAGGATGCACAACGGCGCCACGACAACTACGTATCCGGCCGCCTCGGATCATCGGAACCTCGGAGCCGAATCGGGCGGCGGGGAACGACAAGGCGCCCAGGGCCCTCCTAAGGCTCCAGAACTGGCCGAGAAGTCTGCTCCGTCCCCGGAAGCGCCTCCCCGCAACGCTTCGCTCTCTCTTTTGCATCGGATCCACCGACATGTCGGCGGGCTCCCGCGTCGAATCGCAACGCGCTCGGGCCCGAACGGGCCATGCCTGAGCCTCGAGGGCGCGACCCCCCCCGCGGGCCGACGGGCGGAACGCCCGCTCCGGGTGTCGGAGGCGGCGCCCTCCCGCGGGGCACTCCGCCCACGCCGCTGCACGTCCTCCATCCTCCGGATCCTCGTCCCCGTCCCCGTCCTCATCCTGATCCTCCTCCTGCCTCCTCTTCTGCCTCCTCCTCCTCCACCTCCTCCTCCTCCTGCTCCTCCGCCTCCTCCCTCCTCCTCCTTCTCCTCCTCTTCCTTCTCTTCCTTCCCCCCATCCTCCTCCTCCGTCCCTTCTCCTGAAAACGAATCCCTCCCTGTTGCACCCGCAGACGAGTCCGTAGGGCCAGCCAGGCGTTTCGCCTGAGACTGCCTGACCACTGGTGATCCTGAAGCTTGACACTTGAGACAACTTCATGGATGGAGGGCGGCCCGTTTTCAAAAGGTACCTCTCGCTTTCACGCCGCGCGCTTTCGTATTCAAAGCCTGCAGCACTTTCAGGCATCGAGCTCTCGCTTGCGCGCAGCGCATATTCGTCTCAATATTTTGCAATAGCTCCATGGAAGGAGGCGGGCTCCTTTTCAAAAGGTTGTTTTCGCTTCGGCGCTGCGCGCAATCGTCAACATATTTCAGCAGTTTCAAGGATTCGCAGGGCTACAGTCGGAAGAATTGTTTTCTTGCCCAGCTTCGGATTGTCAGGGCGCAACAGTCACGTGGATTCGTGGTGCTGAAGTCCCATGAACGGAGCTCTTGCCCGATTGAGGATTGCCAGGACATAATTGCCATGTTGACTCGCGGCGTTGACGTACAATGAAATGTGTTAACACTGTCTGGTGGGGACGTTCCTGCAATGAGACCCCTTGTAGGGACGTGCGAAGAGGGAGCTTGAATGTTGACTCGTTCTGGGTTCACACTGGTCATCCTCCTCCTCCACCTCCTTCCTCTTCGTCCCTCCCCCTCGGCAATTGCACCCCTCCTGCTCGCTCACTCCTTCACCCCTACCTCCTCCTCCTCCTCTGCCTCCGGAGACCCCCCCGCGTCGTGACTGAAGGGGCCCCAGGAAACACCAAGAAATAGACACAAGTAAGCAGACTCCCCATGTTTCCCCATCTTTTTTCTGGGTTTTTCTCCTCCCACACGCTTCCCATATGTTTTCCCATGCTTTCGGGGGAATCGACGCTTCATTGTGTCTGTGTGTTTCTTCCCCTCCTGGGTGACGGGATCGCGACGAGCATGTCTCGCCGCTTCCGGCCCCTGCTGGGCGCCTGCAGGCCGGCAAAAGCACGGCTCGGGGCGAGGAGCGGGCCTCCGACAAAGGGGGCCTCGGGAACCTCCCCGGGGGGCCCGCTCTGCGCGAGCGCGGGGGCCGCGGGGCCCCGCTCCGAGGACTCCCCTCCAGGGTGCGTCTGCGGTGGGGCACGTTTGGGCTTCCCTGACTTTCGGAAGCTGGGCGAGGGTTGCCAAAACCGTGGCTGCTAACTCGGCCCTCCCGGAAGGACAGAACAACTTCCCGGAACGAGGCGCGGCACGCGAAACGGTCAACGGGCTTCTCCCCGGAAGGACGAAGACAGCTTCCCGGAGGTCGACTTTAGCAGCCACGGATTTGGCAGCCCTTGCCCGGCTGGCGAGACTTCTCCCTCCACCTCTCCACTTTGCCTGACAGACTCGTCCGTACGCACTTGAAGCAGCGTGCAGTGGCAGCACACACGCTGAGAGAGAGGCGGCTGGCCTACGTACAGGATGATGAAGCAGCTCAGTGGTATGACCGCGCGGGCAAACTCCTGAGGGGGGGCGGTCCCGACGCCGTTTGAGGCTTGTGGGCGGCATGGGCGTTAGGAGAACATTCGTGCAAATGGAATTGACCAGCAAGATGCCAACCGTGCGCTGGAATGCACGGCTGCGTCGGTGCCGTCCACTGCGCTTGGGGTAGATGCGAACATTCGTGACGATTGAACTGCACTTACTTCGTGCATGCTACTTCGACCCCCAAATCGAATTATCCACTAAATCGGAATTCGAAGGCAACACGGGACATGACGAGCCGGCACTCCAGTAGGTGGACGTCCGGCCACAACCTTGGATTCGTTGCAGACTCCAAGCTGAGTGGGCAACTCAGGTTGCGCTGCGCTAGAGGGAGGGGGCACCCAACGCCACTTCCGCCTCCGCGCTCTCGAGCAGGCGAGGGGTCGGGGTCCACACTGGCTCAATATCTTCGTGAGCGGCACCGGCTGCGAACATCACCTCAGGGCCATTCGGACAAGAATCCTTGGATAATGTACCAGGGTCGCGGGGCCGAAGGAGGGTCTGACGTGGACGTATCGTGGTCCTCCTGCCTCGCCCCGGCGAATGTAGGAATGCGCTAGTGCCTGGCCTTGGGAACATCAATGATTAGCGTCCACCACGTTGGCGACTCCAGAAGCCCTGAGGACACCTGCGCTGACCTCTCAAGGGGCCAGCTTCGATCCCCTTTGTTTCTGAGGCACTGCCCTGCCCCCCCCCCCCGAAGCTGTAGTTGGGTGGTCTCGTGAGCGGCAGAGTATGGCGACTCCGGTGCCAGACCCTGCGGGCTCCCGATTGGACAAACGTGTGGGGTCCGGCTCGGTCATGCACGAAGGGGGGCGTCCACCCTCGAGTGCAATGCGTGCGAACAGCCCCGGGGTCGGGGTGCACCTCCAAGAGTTCCCCCCCTTTCCTAAAAGCGGTCAGTTGTCCGGCGGAGGGGGAACTCGGGAATTGGGGGCGATGAGTCGCCTGCGATGGCACACATCAGGTACATACGATAAGAGAGCTTGCTCTAAGACATGTTGGGGCACATGTGTCGTCCATCCCGAACCCTGCTGAAATGCCTCCAGACTTCTGTGGGTCCCTGGGGCCCTTCGGTTCGGGACGTCGGCGCTTCGGATTATGTTCCCCAGCCCTCCTGCGTTGGGCAGGGGGAGGAAGAGGAGGAGGGGGAGGAGGAGGAGGAGTAGGGGGGGGAGGAGGGGGAGGAGGAGGGAGAGGAGGAGGAGGAGGAGGAGGAGGAGAAGGGGGGGGGAGGAGGAGGACTCTCGTTTTGGACAGAGCGCTGAGGTCGCGTCTTCTCCTTCCCGCCTCCCCCTGCAGCCTCCTGCCTGCCTCCTGCCCCGCCTCCTCTCCTCTCTCTCCCCAGGGCCGCCGACCTCGCCCTTCCCCCGGGGAGAGGGCTGCGAAGCAGGACGCCGTCGCCACTCTCGAGGGCTGCCGATGGGGGGGGGCTAGCATCGTCGGGGACTGCGCGATTCCCTAGTAGACCTCGTCGCCCCTGTCGGGCTGCAGAGCGCGAGGCCGTCGCCATGTCGGAGGGCTGTGTGTTGGGGGCCGGCGGAGCGACGTCGCACGCGGAGTCTGAGGAGACCACGTCGTCCCTGGGGGGCTGCGAACTGCGAAACCGTCGTCGCTTCCGAGGGCTGCCAGGGGGGGGGGCAGCATCGTCGGGGCCTGCGCGGATTCAGGTTCGACCCTGCCATCCCAGGGGGGCTACGAACTGCTACACTGTGGCCACTTGCGAGGGCTGCTGGGGGGACCATCATACCACGGGCCTGTGCGCGGATCGAGGTCAGACCTCGCCATCCCAAGGGGTGCTGCGAAGCGTAAGACTGTCGCCACTTTCGAGAGTTGCTGGGGGCGGCAACATAGTCGGGGCCTGCACATCTTCATACTAGACGTCGCCATCCCTGGCGACCGGTTGTTAGTGTGGCCCGTTGGGTGTCAGTGTGGCCCGTTCGGTGTTAGTGTGGCCTGTCGCGCGGCCGCATGGGAGATACTGTGGCCTGCGCTGGCCGTTCAATGAAACGTAATATGTGAAGGTATCTCATGTTAGTTCTAGAGCCATTCGCAACCCTTAAGGGAATGCATTCCCGCGCAGGCCCACCTGGAACCCACGTAGTAGTAGTGGCAGTAGCAGTAGCAGTAGCAGTAGCAGTAGCAGTAAGAGTAGTAGTAGTAGTAGTAGTAGTCGTAGTAGTAGTAGTAGTAGTAGTAGTAGTAGTAGTAGTAGTAGTAGTAGTAGTAGTAGTAGTAGTAGTAGTACCAGTAGTCGTAGTCGTCGTCGTAGTCGTAGTCGTAGTCGTAGTCGTAGTAGTAGTAGTAGTAGTAGTAGTAGTAGTAGTAGTAGTAGTAGTAGTAGTAGTAGTAGTCGTAGTCGTAGTAGTAGTAGTAGTAGTAGTAGTAGTAGTAGTAGTAGTAGTAGTAGTAGTAGTAGTAGTAGTAGTAGTAGTAGTAGTAAGTAGTAGTAGTAGTAGTAGTAGTAGTAGTAGTAGTAGTAGTAGTAGTAGTAGTAGTAGTAGTAGTAGTAGTAGTAGTAGTAGTAGTAGTAGTAGTAGTAGTAGTAGTAGTAGTAGTAGTAGTAGTAGTAGTAGTAGTAGTAGTAGTAGTAGTAGTAGTAGTAGTAGTCGTGGTAATAGTAAACGTGATAAGAATACTAGTAGCCATGGAAATAATAAACGTAGTAGTATATTAGTAGTAGTAGTAGTCGTAGTAGTAGTAGTAGTAGTAGTAGTAGTATTAGTAGTAGTGGAAGTAGTAGTAGTAGTAGTAGTAGTAGTAGTAGTAGTAGTAGTGGTAGTAGTAATAGTAGTAGTCGTAGTCGTAGTCGTAGAAGTAGTAGTAGTCGTAGTAGCAGTAGTCGTCGTAGTAGTAGTACTAGTAGCAGCAGCTAGTGGTAGTAGTAGTAGTAGTAGTAGTAGTAGTAGTAGTAGCCGTAGTAGTAAGTAGTAGCAGAAATCCTAACGTTAAGTAGGAGTAGTAGTAGTCGTAGTAGTAGTCTGCGGTGGGGTAGTTGTAGTAGTAGTAGTAGTAGGTAGTAGTAGTAACAAGCAGTACCAGTAGTAGTAGTAAGTCGTCGTAGTAGAAATATTAGTGGTCGTAGTAGTCGTAGTCGTTGGTCGTGTCCGGCGTAGTCCGTCGTGTCGTCGTAGTAGTAGTAGTTGTAGTAGTTGTGAGTAGTGTAGTAGTAGTAGTAGTAGTAGTAGTAGAAGTAGTAGTAGTAGTAGTAGTAGTAGTAGTAGTAGTAGTGTAGTTAGTGTAGTAGTAGTAGTAGTCGTAGTAGTAGTAGTAGTGTTAGGTAGTAGTTAGGGTTGTCGTTGTAGTAGTAGTAGTAGTAGTAGTAGTAGTAGTAGTAGTAGTAGTAGTAGTAGTAGTAGTAGTAGTAATAGTAGTAGTAGCCGTAGTAGTAGTAGTAGTAGTACGAGTACTAGTAGCAGTAGCAGCCGTAATAATGGTAACAGAAATAGTCGCAGTAGTAGCAGTAGCAGAAGTAGTAGTAGTAGTAGTAGTACTAGTAGTAGTAGTAGTAGTAGCAGGAGTAGTAGTAGTAGTAGTAGTAGTAGTAGTAGTAGTAGTTAGTGAGTAATGTAGTAGTAGAAGTAGTAGTAGTAGTGTAGTAGTGTCAGCCGTTAAGTGTAGGTAGTAGTAGTTTGTAGTCAGTAGTTGTAGTAGTAGTAGTAGTAGTAAGTCGTAAGTCGTAGTAGTAGTAGTAGTAGTAGTAGTAGTAGTAGTAGTAGTAGTAGTAGTAGTAGTAGTAGTAGTAGTAGTAGTAAGTAGTAGTAGTAGTAGTAGTAGTAGTAGTAGTAGTAGTAAGTAGTAGTAGTAGTAGTAGTAGTAGTGGTAGTAGTAGTAGTGGTAGTAGTAGTAGTAGTAGTCGTCGTAGTCGTAGTAGTAGTAGTCGTACTAGTGGTAGTAGTTAATAGCTAGTAGCTTGTAGCTAGTAGCCGTCGTCGTAGTAGTAGGGAGGGAAAGAGGGGGAAGGAGGAAATGGAGAGGGAACGAGGGAGGACGAGGAGTGCAATGGAATGGGGGGACGGAGGGAGGCGATTGAGAGGGGAGGACTCCGGAGGAGCGCCGAGGAATACAATGGAATGGGGAGGGACGGAGCGAGGAGAGAGGAGGGAGGGGGGTGGAGGGAGGAGGGACAGCGAGGGAGGAATGAGGAGGAGGAGGAGGCAGGAGGAGGAGTGCCATGGAATGGGGAGGCGGAGGGAGTAGCGCATGGAGTGGGGAGGACTCTAGAGGAGTGGGGAGGAACGCCGAAAAGCAAGATGGAGGGAGTTTCGACGAGTGGGGAGGGATGCCGAGGAGCACGATGAAGTGCGGAAAGGTACAGAGGAAGGGGCGGAGTGCGGAGAGTGGGGAGGAGGAATGGAGTGAAGTGCGGAGGAGTGTCGAGGAGGACGATGGAGTGCGGAGGAATGAGAGGCTCTGGAAGGCCTCTTGGGGGCCTCTGGAGGGCTCCTTGGAGACCTCTGGGGGACGCTTTCGTGGACTCCTGGGCTTAGCTGCCCCGATACGCAACACGCCACACGGAACGTGGCCCAACACATAGGCTCAAAACGGAGACCTGGCTGCAACGAAACGCGACATGGAGGGAGTTTCGAGAGGCTCTTCGGAGAGCTCAAGAGGCTCTTCGGAGAGCCCAAGAGGCCCTTCGGCCGCTCCAAGAGGCTCTTCGGCGGCTCGAAGAGGCTCTTCGGCGGCTCGAAGAGGCTCTTCGGAGAGCGCCAGAGGCTCTTCGGAGAGGCCCAGAGGCTCTTCCGAGAGGCTCGACTCGGTGAAGGGGGGGGGAGGAGGCTCTTTGGAGACCCCCCCCCTTCACCGTACTCGTCGATTAATACCCTCTGGAGGAAACCTGGCCATACTAACACCCACCGGGCCGCACTAACAACCAACGGGCCACAATAACACCAACGGGCCACAGCAGCACTAACCCTGGGGGGGTGCGTGCTGCAAAACTGTCGCCGCTTTGAGGGCTGCTGGGGCGGCCAGC